TGGGACGAAATGACACTGGGACAAAATGAATTTGGGACGAAATGAAAAGGGACGAAATGAGTGAGGGACGAAATGAATGGGACGTAGTGTAAGGGGACGAAAAGTAATGGGACGAAATGAGTGTCCACCTTTCGTTCTATCATCGATAATTTTCTTATTGAGCGAACGTAATAAGCGAATAGAATTTTTTTCCTTTTCTGTTTATCGTTCAACCAATACGAGGAGGTGTTGTTGATCTGAAGAAGTACCCGAATCTGTATGGTGAAATCTTTTTCCTTCCTCAAATTTATATAAAAATAGAATTTTGCCACACTGATATTTATTTAATAAAAAATGATTGTATTTTATTTGTTTTTCATAGAAAATCTTCAAGTTGGACAATTGAAGATTTTGAAATAGGTTATTTATTAGGACGTGGTCGATTTGATTACGTTTATTGTGGTCGAGAAAAACAAACATGTTTTATTGTTGCATATAAAGTAATTAAAATAATAATTAATTTCTTTCTCTTTGCTTTATTTCAATCATAGATATTATTTAAAGCTCCATTTAAAAATTCTAAAATGTTACAACAAGTAAAACGTGAAATAGAAATTCAATCAAGTCTTAAGTATGTTCAAGTTTTTTTAGTTTTCTTAAGTTTATTATTAATGAATGTTCATGATGAACAAAGAATTTATTTATTATTTGAATATGCACCCGATGAAGAATAATATCGACGTATGCAAACAGAAAAAACTTTACATGAAAGTGAAGTTGCTGGAGTAAGAATTTAAATATTATTTTTATATTTTTATTTTTAAACGTTTTAGTATGTCTATCAACTTTGTAATGCTTTAAATTATTTAGATATAAAACGGCTTGTTCATCGATATGAATAATAAGTATTTTTATTTTTATTTTTATTTTTATTTTCTTGTTCTATTTAGGGGTATGTTTGGAGAATTTTATGAATATAGTAATTATAAATTAACCTGTTCTAGATATTAAAGCAGAAAATATTCTTATTGAAATATATGGCATTTTGAAATTAGGTGAATTTTTGAAAGAATTATTCTCGTGTTATTTGTTTTTATTATAGCGGATTTTGGTTGGTTATCTGAAAGTACA